ACCAATGATGGTGTGCCACAGAGAAGCACGATTAACTCAATCTTCTGAGGAACAAAAACTTCAAAACAAAACATAGCTAAACACAAATATATGACAGCACCTCGACGATGGAGGGCTGGAATGAGGAAAAGAGCTGGGATGAGGAAAAACAAACAAAAAAACTGGATAGCAAAACAGTTAAAAAGCAGTCACTAATAGGTGCCTCAGGGACTTCCCTAGGGGTTGACTTTCCCCCTTCACTCCTGTTAGAAGGGCTGTGCTTTCTGATCCCGGAGCAGATTTCATTGAGGACACAGCGCTACAGCACCTCCCACGGTCAAATACTGTATGAAGGATTACAAAATCAACCACAGACTAGTGCGGAATGCAGTAAACAAATTATAAAACAATAAGGGCGTACAGTGATAGGAAAACGCACACATTATTACGGGAACTCAGAGAAAGGGGTAAAGGCCAAGGGAGGTTTTCTGGAGTGGGTAACTGGAAAGGGGAGATAAAGCACACAGAGGACACTGCTGATATCGATGGCAGGAAGAGGTGCCAACAATCACATAATGCGCTAAGAGGGGAGCTATCACTCCGAAAAAGGCTGTGGATCCGTCGAAAAGGCAGGGAGCTGTGGAGGTTCCATGTGATTGGCAGAGACCTCGGCTCAAGCCTGCCTCCAGCCTTGCTCTGCCCCCATCCCTCCCTCCTCCTAATTAGGGCGCCCTTCTCCACAGTTCCTCTCGGCCGGGAGGGTATACCAAACCCCAGGGCCTGCATCTCCAGCTGATGGAATTGTACTGCCGCATTAATCTCCCAGAAATAGACTGCTGCTCCCTTGAGGTGGTAGAATTAGCTCTATCCGGCCGGGGCGGGGCGGCCAAGGAGAAGGCGCTCATTGGTTGCCACGGTGGTGACTGATTGGCTGCAAGCTCAGTGCGGCCACACCCAAACCCTCCCGGGTCAGCGGTGCAGCATCTCACCCTTAGTTTGTACTTGGGGAGTAGCTACGCCCATCGTGGGAAGGTGGCGTCGGCGTCGGGTTTCGGTGTGAGGAATCTGGGGCACCGGCCCGCGGCGGGCAATTCCTGGGGACTGTTCCCACATTTTCGTTCGGCCCTTGGGATGGACCATGGTAACCCCACAGCCTGGTTGCACCCCCTCCGGCGACAAGCGGTTTTGTATATGGAATTGAGAGGGCCTGGGAAGTGCGGTGCCCTTCCGGGATAGTTTCTGGTTTTTGCACTATCGCGGATGCTGGGGCGCTTTCAATCGCTCCAAAGACCAGGGCGGGAGCAGCCACGGCCGTAGCTTTTCGTGCTAGATCTCTTGAGTCCGTTCCCGCCTGGGCTCTGGGCTTCCGTGAGCCCTGCGCCTTGAGAACGTGCTTGACCTTGAGAGGACAGTACTAGGTCACTCGGCCTGGTTTTCCAGCATCCTGGGCCCGAACTCACCTTCCGCCTTCCGTAGTTGAAGGCACCATTTCTACGACAAATCAGGCCATGTTTCTTGCCTGCAATTTTACTGGTCCCCGGCATCCAGCCCTCCTCCCCAATTCTCTGTCTTACAACTGCTGGTTATTTTTAATGGCTCAGCTAATATCATCTCCTCGTATAAAGCCTGCACCATGCTTCTGGACCTCCTTAGGAGTGAGTGCAGGCTCTGGCCCACAGGAGTTATAATCGCAGCTGTGCCACTTAAATGCTATGTGATTTTGAGCAAGTTACTTAACCTCTCTGAGCTTCAGTTTTTGCATTTCAAAATCGAGGTAGTACTAGTACCTTATCAGGTTTTGTGAGGATTAAATGTATTATAAAACTCTTTAGTGCTTAATAAATGTGGGCTGCAGTTATCTGTGCTCCCAAAGTTGTTTGTATAGGTCTCTTACAAGTGCTTACCCTTTCTATTATCATTATTAGTTCTCTTCTGCCCTACTAGGCTATGAGATCCTTAAAGGTGGAACAGTCCCTTATTTATAATCTCAATGTCCAACGAGCTGGACAAATGTAAAGAAATTATTCCTCAGAGAACTTTCTCAGAAGCTTCCTTTCTTCTTTCCCTTTCCTTCACTTTTTTTCTCTTTGAGGCAAGAATTTTCAAACTTAGAGAAGAAACTGACATCCCAGAGAAAAAGATAGGTACTTTTTTTGTTTCCATGGTGATGGAGGATCTTAACCGTGGCAACTTTAGACAAGTTTCTTCCTAACTGTAGAGTTGACTCCCTTTCTAGAGCCTATACTTTAGAAAATTTGTTAATTGCAAGTTCTTCCTCTGCTCTTTTGAACTATACCTACATTTTAGACAGTTATTGCCAGTTTTATGACCCAGGGAATGTCTTTTTCAGGGACCTGGGAGCCATCCCTTTAAAATGTAATCATCAAGGAGAGTATCCCAGTCTCTGTGGGATGCTAGGAGGCTAACATCGGTGGGCACCTTGTTCTAAATTGTAAAACTACAGGCTGTCTTGAAGATAGGAGAGAGTTTCCTTTTCCTTTTCCTTTGCAATTAACAAATGCAGGTGTCATGTGATTCCCCCATAGGGCCTCTGCCAACTCCCCAGCCCCTTATTTTAGTGGAATTCCATTTAATATCCTATTGCAATAGTTTTAAAGTCTTTTTTTTTTTTTTT